GTGTTCATCCAGCCCTGCACCTTGTTGCATTGATTTTGTGTCTTTTATGTTGGAAAATTTCTCAAACACTTGCACAGGAGCTATTTTAGACACTCAGCCTTTAAAGGAGATTTAGGACAGGTGATTGGAAATCCACTGCCTGGAGACAGGTTCAAATGATGTGCTCAAGAGGGCACTGGATGTTTACTTTGGACAGTAATGCTGATTCAGGGAAAAAGGCAGGACATTGACACAAGACAATAGACCAAGTACAAGCACGATGGGCTGTAATCATTGTGTGGGTGAGTGCTTTTCCAGACTTACTGAGTCTCCTGCGCCAACGCCTGCGATGCACAGATTCTGAGGGGCCCTCTGCTACTGACGTTTCCAACAAGGGCACAGTTTGGGGCTCAGTCGGTTTTGTTGTGAGAGAAGAGTCATCCTTTGATGCCGGTGCTGTCAATTCTGATCCCAGGCTGGGGTCTTGTGCTGTTAGCTGAGGCGATGCTTCCAATCTTGTCTCTGCTAAAATGGGCACACCCAGTGCCTGGAGTTCAATGCATTTAGAGCTCGGAGTGTGGTCTTCTGAAATCTGTGCCGGTGATGCTTCAGATACTGTTGCTTTTATTAAGGGTATATTCTCTCCCTGGGGTTCAGCAGGTTGCACAGTCTTGGAAGGTTCAACGTTCAAATTCTGTAATATTGAAAATTACTCAAAGATAACAGGTCTATATATGTATGTATATATTTATATTTTTTATTTAAAACAGTTTAACAATAACACTTTACATTTGTATAGAACCCATAAAGTGATCAAATTGCGAGATGCTCCAGAGGAGCATTTACATTCTGATACCGAGCCATATTAGGACAGGTGACTGAAAGTTGGCCAAAGTAATTGATTGTACAAATGTATTGAAGGAGGGAGAGAGGCAGATAGGTGAAGAAGCTTAGGGATAGACCTCCAGAGCTTGGACCTCAACAACCAATGTTAGAACAATAAAAAAAAAATTGAGGATGAAGAAGAGAAAACACAGTGTGGAGCTGGAGGAACACAGCAGGCCAGGCAGCGTCAGAGGAAAAAGAAAGTTGACGTTTCAGGTCGGGCCCCTTAAGAAAGGTCCTCTGATGCTGCCTAGCCTGCTGTGTTCCTCCACCTCCAGACTGTGTTATCTCTTACTCCAGCATTTGCAGTTCTTACTATCTCTGATGATGAACAAGACTCGAGATTTGGAGGACAACAGAGGTCCTAGGGAGTTTCTGAGGACTTTAAATTTACTTTGAGCCAATAATTTTTGTTCAGAATATTGCGTCTATATTTACTGGTATTAATTCCTACATTAATATTTCCTATTCAATTTTACCATCTCAGCTGTCATAATATAATTGTAAGCTCTGGGCAATAGTTGGCTCTATAATGTGAGAGTCAAAAGTGTCTCTGAATGCTACTGCCATCTTTTGTGTTGAAACAAACTGAACTTTACAAATGGACTATGAGCATTGCCAAAAAGGTAATTATAAACATTGGCTGTGGTTTGGAGCTTCAGATCCTTCATCACAAAATCCAACTTGACATTCCAGTGCAGTATTGAGTGAGTTGAAGGTGCCGCCTTAAGGTGTTAAACCCAGGTATTGGCTGTCTGTGAGCTAGATATTAAATGGTCCAGTGGTACTACTTAAAAGATGAGGATTGATGTTCTGTGGAACAATATTGATCGTTCAACCAACACCACTAAAACAGACAATTTGGTCTGTTTGTAATTTAGAGTGCCATGTGCACATTGGCTGTGCATTTCCAAAATCACAAGAGTATCTCCAGAAATTCACAGCATCTGTGGAAAGTAAGTGGAGTTAACTTTCTTCAGAACTCTGAACAAGGTCAGAAGGAGGGATGTTCGCTGATGATTGCACAGTGGTCAGCACCATTCACAGCTCCTCAGATACTGAAGCAGTCCATGTTCAAATGCAACCAGATCTGGACAATATCCAAACTTGGGCTGACAAGTGGCAAGGTGACATTTGCATCACAGAAATATCAGGCAATGATCATTTTCAATAAGTGACAATCTAACCACCGCCCCTTGACATTCAATGGTTTCACCATCACTGAATCCCTCACTATCAACATCCTGGGGCTTACTATTGACTTAAAACTAAACTGGACTCACGATATAAACATAGTGGCTACAACAGCAGGTCAGAGGCTAAGAATACAGTGGGGAGTAACTCACCTCCTCACTTGCCCAGAGCCTGTCCACCATCCACAAGTCAGGAGTGTGATGGAATACTCCCCACTTGCCTAGATGAGTGTAGTTCCTACAACACTCAAGAACACTACTCCAGGACAAAGCAGCCCGCTTGATTGGCACTACATCCACAAACATTCAATATCTCCACCTCCAACGCTCAGCAGCAGCAGTGTGTACTATCTACAAGATACACTGCAGAAATTCACCAAGGATCCTTTGATGGCACCTTCCAAACACACAGCCACTTCCATCTAGAAGGACAAGGGCAGCAGATACATGGGAATACCACCACTTGTAAGTTCCCCTCCAAGCCACTCACCATCCAGACTTGGAAATATATTGCTGTTCCTTCACTCTTGGTGGGTCAAAATCCTGAAATTCCATCCCTTGGGGAATTGTGGGCCTACCCACAGGACATGGACTGCAGCAGTTGTAGAAGGCAGCTCACCACCAGCTTCTTAAGGGCAACTAGGGATGGGCAAGAAATGCCAGCAAAGCCCACAACCTACAAGTGAGTAAAATAAAAGATTCCTTTCCCTAAAAGGATATTAGTGAATCAGGTGTGTTTTTGTGACAATTGGCGATCATTCCTTGGTCATTGTTACTGTGACTAACTTTCAATTCCAGACATTGGAAAATGAATTAGCTGAGTTTAAATTGAATGAACTACCATGATAGGATTTAAACTTATGTCACTAGAGCCACAGAGTGGGCCTTTCTGTGGCATTACCTCTATGCTACAATCTTCCCCGGTCCAGACCTTCCCCGACGCTAGCAGAAAGGAGAGTGTGTGAGAAAGTCCCCTGGAATGTGGATGACTCTTGTTCATGGCAAGAACCTTGCATGTGGAGGCTGTTGTGTGGCAGCTACTACAGTACTGCCCGTTCAGGAAAGTCTTCTGCTCTTATAGTATGCCACTGGTGCGATTTAGAGATTAATGATCAACTTGCATTCAGACACACCTACCATGGCCATCAATTCCTGAGGAGAGCTGAATGGTCCAGAGGTAGGGACACTGCCCACTGTGCCACTGTTGGAGACAGGATCTGAGAGGTGGCATTGGAGATCGAGAAAGAGAAGATTATGGGAAGGCGAGGATTACAGAAAGTGGAGAGCGAGGGAAAGAGGAGGAGGGAGGAGGAGGAGACACAGAGCGAGGATCAAGGTAGGGAGAGAAAGAGGGGAATAGAAGGAGAACAGTATAGTGGGAGGGAGAAGGGGAGGGGGGAGAGTCGTAGAATTCTCATCCTGAAGGAAAGAAATAATTTTTATAGCGCCGAGTATTCTCAAGTAGTTTCATTAATGTTTAAGTTCTTCTGCTCTCACATCCAAATCAATATTCAGGCTGACACATGTTCACAACCATCAAGGTGAGACTTCCACATGATGGCAAGCCCACTCAATACAAGAGCTTTGTTCACTGGTACCTGGGGTTAGTTTCTGCAATGACTGTTACATTGGAAGGGAAAGGATTGGTTTCGGATCCTCAGGCAAGAGGCAGACGTGGCGACTTGCAAACAGGGTGTGCCTGTTAAACAATAATGCCCATACTCTTGCATGAAACTTCAGCATTTCATCTGCCTGTCAAACACAGCTTTGCATTTATATATTAACATGGTGGAAGACTCCCAAGTGTTTGTCACGCTATCGATGACAGTTTAAATGCAGAGAACATATACTATGGAAACAGGCCATTTGGCCCTCATATTCTATGCTGGTGTCTATGCCTATGTCACTGCCTGGAAATGTGTTAGAGACAGAAAGCCCCATGAATGTTAAGAAGTTAAAATCTACAATGGTGATGCCAAGAGATACAAGGCGATGGACTAAGTGCTGGAAAATGGGATTAGAATAGGTAGGTGCTTGCTGTTGACGCAATTGATGGGCTGAAGGGCTTTTTTGTGGGTGTAGACATCTGTGATTCCATGCTTCACACAAGCCCCCTCCGCCCAACTTCATCTCATCCTATCAACATTTTTTTTTGGATTCTTTTCTCTCTTATACGCTTCTCTGGTTTCCCTTTAAATGTTTCAATGTTATTCATCACAATGTGCTCGGAAGCTTCACATTCCAACCATTAACTGCATGATAACCTTAAGGCAATACCAAGTGAACAATGATATTGATACATGCCATGCTTCAACAAGCTAAAGTAAAAGAACATTTAGAAATATTGGGTTGAATGCCTGCAATGACTTGAAAAGGACATTGTTAGTCTATGAACCGTGTAACAGAGAGATGCAGAAACCATTTGTTCTGTAGAATCTGCTAAAGTTCTAACAAGTGAAAATAAACTCACAAGATGCTGATGATTTGGGAACATATTGAAAGATACCAACAAGATTCAGCAAAATCAGTCCCCGAGATAATCTGCAAAGGATCGGTGCGAAAGTCACTAATGTGCTGTGCTTATATCCATTGATCTTTGTCTGGGAAACTAATGCGTCATGAGTATGGTAAACAGAAACGTTTGCATTAATATCACACTTTTCAACAGCTTTTGAAAATTGATAGCACTTTATAACCAATTAAGTACTTCTGAAGTGTAGGCATTGTTCTAATGTAGGAGCCATGGCAGTCAACTTGCACATAGCAAGATCCCAGAAAGGGCAACATGATATTTACTTTTAGGGATAAATCTTGGCCAGGATACGACCCCTCTTTGAAATGGTCCCATGGGAATCAAATAGCCTTAACACCTCATCGCAAAATAGAGACAGGGGTAGAGAAAGAGAGCACACAGCACTTCCTTAACACTGCAGTGGAAGTAGCGGCTTAGAATTTGTGTTTGGGTAGTGGGGCCTAAATGCACTTGGTTCCCAATAAAGAATGGTACCCACTGGGACACATTTGATACCTTCAGCTTTCAACATAATTCCAATGTAATTCCGTAAATGCATAATATGTTGCAGCATTTGAAAAAAATAGAGCAGTTTGACAGTTTGGGTACAAGACTCTTATGAGATTGTAGAATGAATGTAGATGTACAATTGGTGAATCAGGTCCTTATGAAGCATTAGGTTATTTGTTCTCCTTCAGGTGTTGGCTATCCAACAGTGTACATTCAATATTTTCCACCAAAATTCCAATAAAGATATTTAAAAAAAGATAACATAATAAACAGTGATTTAAATTCCTAGTTTGTGAATCTTACCATAATTGAAGGTTTTCAGCACATACGACTCATGACTGTCAGTGTCTCGTGTTTCGGAGCTTGGTTTTAGACTAAGTGCACAGCTCGATGACACACAGAGATGCTGCAATCAGATGAGCTCTGCTTTAATACAGCGATCGCAAAAGTTAGTCAGCCGGTAAAACCAGTTGCCCAATGTCACTGCTGCAGACAAGTTCCATAAATATATTTGAACTGTTGCTGGGCAACAAATAAATTTTCTTTTAACAAAGCAGGTTGCTATCACTGCGGTAATGTCACTGGGCCAGTAACCCAGAGTCCCAGATTAATGGTTTGGGGACTTGGGTTTAATTCCCACTATAGCATTTAGTGGTTCAATTGAATAGATTAAGATTTGATAGCTAGGAATGAAGGTAGGCCATTTGGTCCCTTGATTTTGCTTCATCATTCTAGTTCACGGCTGATCATTTACCTTATTGCCACTTTCCTGTGTTATCCTCATATACCTTAATGCCATTAGTATCTAGAAACCCTTGAAGATATTATTGACTGAGTTTCCACAGCCCTCTGTGGGAGAGAACGGCAAAGGCTCACAACCTGCCTGAGGATAAAATTTCTCCTCATCTCGGTCATAAATGGCCTGTATTTGGAGACTGTACCCCCGGTACAAGACCCCTGAACCAGGGGAAGAATTATTTCTGCATCGAGCTCATTAAGAACATTTGTAAGTTTCAACTAGATCATTTCTCATTCTTTGAAACACTAAAGAATGCAGGGCCGGTCTCCTCAAACTCTCCTCATAGAACAATCTTGCCACCTCAGGAATCAGTCTGATGAACCTTTGGTCAATTCTCTTTATGGTAGGTCTATCATTCTTTAGGTAATGGGACCAAAGGAACATGTAATACTCCAGGTGTGGTCATACTAAGGTTCCATGTAATTGAAGTAAGACATCCTTACTTTTGTATTTTGCTTATGATAAAGGCCAGCGTACCATTTGTCTTCCTGATTGCTTGTTGCACCTGCATGCCAGCTTTCAGTGACCCAAGAACAAGGAGACCCAGCCTATTTTGGACATCAAAAGCTCGGGAGTAGGCCATTCAGCCCCTGAAGCCTGAAGGAATTTACTACAATCGAACATTTTAATGCCTTTTATTCACAGTATCCTCAGAATCTTTTACAATATTGGTAAACAGAAATCTACCGATCTCTATCTTAAATAAACTCCAAGATTGAGCTTCCACAGCCCTGTAGATGTTGGTGTGTAGATGAAAGCATCAAACCTCCTAGCTCAGCGAACACACCAACATCGACAGCCAGCACCCGAGCTACAAATCATCACTCAAGCCCTTCCACAGGCCTCTGGGGTAGAGAATTCCAAAGATTCACAACCCTGTGATGAAAACTATCTTTCTTTATCTTGGTCCTAAGTAGTACACCCCCCTTATTCTTAATCTGAGCTCCCAGCTCTAGACTCCCCATGCAGGGGAAACATCTTACCTACATCGACACTCTCATCCCCTCACCCCTCCCAGATAACCCATGACCCTCAATCCCAAACTCTTGTTGGACTCCCGTCCTGCAGCAGTGACAGAAAGTCGCAAAATCCCATTACCTTCTTGACCCACTGCAGTCCAGTTAGCGATACCTCCTGCATGTCTGTCTGTCTAGGTCATGTAGTATGTTCATGACTCCCACATGCTGTAGGATGTTATTCCACTTGGCCAAGCTGCCCTCCCAGAAACTTACTGTTGGCCTTTTTACTATAATCTGGAGATAAGAAAGTAGAATTACTCACTTTTCAACTCATTCTCCTGTGCCTTTATGGCAGGTACTTAAGAGATATCTAAGGTTAGTCTCAGAAATGGTGGCCATGAAAACTTCAATTAACCTGGTTCCATTTTGTTCTTTCAAGACTAGCAATTATTGCCCATCCCAAACTGCCTTTGAGAAAGCGATGGTGCACTGTCTTCTCAAACATTTGATATGGTGTATGTACGACCACAGTGTTGTAAAGGATGGCGTTCCAGGACATTGATCCGGTAACAGTGAAGGAACAGTGATATTGTTCTATGTTATCATACGTGTGGGTATTCCCATACACCGCCTGACCTTTCCTTTCCAGGGGTGGTAGTGGTCAAAGATATGGGAAGTTGTGTTGAAGAAGCCTTGGTGGAGCTGTCTTGTAGATGGTATACAGGGCTGCTGCCATGGGTTGGCACTGAAGGGAGCAAATGTGCATGGTGGTGGATGGAATGCTAATCGAGCAAGATGCTTTGTCCTGCAGAGGGTTGTTTCAGTTGCACCCAACCAGGGAATTGCTAGTGAGTCAGGAATTTGAGTTACTTATTGCAGAATTCCTACGCTTGGCCTTGTTTTTGCAGTCACAGCATATATTTAACAGTTAAGAAGCATTTAGATGTGCTATTACAATGCCAAGGCATACAAGGCTACAGGCCAAGTCTGCAAAATTGAATTAGAATAGTTAGGTGCCTGTTTTTGACCAGTGCAGACTTGATAGGGTGACAGGTCTTTTCCTCTGCTGAAGACCCTTATGACTCTGTGACTCTATGATGCTATGTGGGGGAGTCCAGTTCAGTTTATGGTTGATAGTAACCTCCAGAACATTGATAGTGGAGGATTCAGCGACAGTAATGCCATTGAACATCAAGGGGTAATGGTTAGATTCTCTTTGGCGTATGAGGTCAGTAAGGTGTGTAAAAATGGAGGTAAGATACATTCTAGCTCATTGAAATCCTGGCAACATATATCCCTCAATCAATATCACAAAAAGAGCTTGCCTGATTATTGACACATGCTGTTTTTGGGAGCTTGCCGCGTGTAAATTGATTGCTATGCTCTTTACATTGCAACAGTGACTACAGTTCAACAATGCACTTGATTGTCTATGAAGGACTTTGTAATGTTTGGCGATCATGGAAGGTGCTATGTAATTATAAATCTTTCCTTCGATGGAATAGGCAGCTGCTGATCTGACCAACTTTCAGCCTGTCCTATATATTTTAATGTGAATTCTCTGAATGTGTCAGACAATGGCAATCCGTGATTTCTTTCTCTGCTTGTTGATTCTTTTGTGTGAAGCTGATGAGTTCTGAACCCCTCTAGAATTGTATCGTATCTTCCAGGAATCAAAGATTAATGTTCTCGTTACTGTTCTTTCACAGTGAATCGTGAGCGTCCAGAATACGTTGCCTGAGCGTGTAGTAGAGGCAGGTTCAATTAAGGCCTTCAAAAGGGAATTTGGCTGTGATTTGAAAGGGAACAATGGGTAGGGAAGAAAGCAGGAGGATGTCAGTAAGTGAAATACTCATTTGAACAGCAGGCACAGATACAGTGTGTTTAATGGTCGCCTTCCGCACTATAATAATTCTGATTTTGTCATTGATTCTGCTTTTAACAACCTTTGAAAAGAAATTAAGAAAAACTCTTCTTATTTGCTTTTGATTATTCTCTTTTGCCTACAATACATATGGGATAAGGGGTGAGGATGTAAGTGGTGTTTGATGGATAATTAATCTGTATCATCTATTCTGGTAAGGAGAATCTGTGCTTTCCTATAGTGTGTGAAGGTGGGGGGAGTGTGAGAATGATTAGACACCCAACTGAAGCAGAGTGAGGTGGCAAGACACTTCTGTGACAAGACCTCCAGAAATATACCTCATATCCAGCCTTTTAAAAACAGAAAAAAGAAACAAAGTGGGTGATTTTCTGGTAAGTTTGAAGGTTTTGTTCTCCACTGACCTGACCTTATGTAGTTTCCACAAGCCCGCCAGCAAAATATGATCATTAAACTTAGCAACATGTACTTTGCATTGGCCACTCCTTTAAGCTAGAGTTAATTTTGGACCAGTAATTTTAATTTTAATGATGATTCTGTGCCTGTATCTTAAGGAGATAACGACTTCAGGATTTAAAGAATAATGAGCCAATATTGTAAAATAATGTCAGAGATGTTGAAAGCAATCATTGCTTCATTTAACAGGTGACAACACTATCTACTTTACTGCTGCACTCACCTTGTACAGACTCAGATGATCAATAGACAGAACAGAAAGTAGAGACTAGAGATAGGTAATGATTGCTGAAAGTAATCATACAGGTGCAGCAGGTGATGAAGATGATAATAGTATGTTGGCATTCACAATGAGAGGACTCGAGTACAGGAGCAGGGATGTCTTGCTGCACTTGTATAGGACCTTGGTGAGACCACACCTGGAGTATTGTGTGCAGTTTTGATCTCTCTGGAGGAAGGATTTTCTAGTTATGGAGGGAGTACAATGAAGATTTACCAGACTGATTCCTGGGATGGCAGGACTGACTCATGGAGACACTGGATGGATTAGGATTATATTTACTGGAGTTTGAAAGAATGAGGGGAGCATATCATAGGAACCTATAAAATTCTTACAGGACTAGACAAGTTAAACACTAGAAGGATATTCCTGATGACTGGGCAGTCCAGAACCAGGGATAACCCTTTTGGGATGGTCATTTAGGAGAGAGATTGAGGAGAAATGTCTTCACCCAGACAGCGGTGAATCTGTAGAATTCTCTGCCATAGAAAGTGGTTGAGGCCAAAACATTGAATGTTTTCAAGAAGGAATTAGATACAGTTCTTAGGGCTAAAGGGATCAAAGGGTATAGGGAGAAAGCGGAAACAGGGGACTGAGTTGGATGTTTATCCATGATCATTTTGTAGGGTCTAATGGCCTACTCCTACTCCATATGTTTCTATGCACTGGGAGAGGCTCCAATTTTCTTTCTAATAGATGGCTGATCAGGAATCCCTCCCACACTTACCAGCTCTGCACATGTTGGTAGGATTTATAGAAGTTGATCATCAACCTGTTTGGCTATGCTATGATTGTATTTTCTGTAGCCATCAAGCTGTGGAGTGGGACCCAAACCTGGAGTTTTGGCTCTGGGGCAGGAATGCTGCCCCCTGCACTGTAAGGCCCCCCCCCCCCCAGGACTGCTCTGTAATTCTGTCACATTGAATGTGGCTCCTGTTTGTGATTGTGATGGTTGTTAGCGATAGTGAGATTTACTGGTACAAGACCATAAGAGGTAGGAGTAGGAGTAGGCCATTTGGCCCATTGAGTTAGCTCCATCACTCAATGCAATCATGGCCGACCTGATAACCCTCAACTTCACTTTTGGCCTTTTTCCCCTGTGAGTGGAGAATGAAAGAGTTGAGCTGTGATTGAGAAATATTCCCATGCCAGGCACTATTGGCAGCCTATTCACCTCTGGGCATTGATCATTGCTGCTGCTTTGCTGTATCTCACCTACACAAATCCAAATCACTCTCAAAGATATTCAGTCTTATGCTTGAAGGCAAGTTTGTTTGTAGGGCTTAAGGTGGGTTTCTGCAATTAGAAACACACTATGTGTGTGCCCCTAGTGAAAGGCTTGTTTCCTTTGATCCTGTTTTGTCATTGAGTTAAAAGCACCTGAAAAAGACATGAAATAAGTCTGTGTAGGTCACTTGATTGCAAGTCATTAAATTGTGGAGGCATTAGGATTAGTAATTTCAGCATGATGGTCCTCCTACTCTTGGTGTAGATATTAGTCAGAAGTACCCTCCTTGAAATAAATGTAATTAGCTGCCACAGCATTCCAGTGCTAACAATAATATGTCCATAACCTTATTTATCAAAAAGCCTTTGGGGAACAAATTATAGAACTTCAGTCACAGGAAGCAGCATCATCTACACTGAGGTGACATATTTTCTCAACCTGTTCAAAGATGTTATTACTCATTTCATAGAATCCACACCATGGGATTAAGCCAATTGGTCTGTGGTGGAGTTTAGAGTCCTTATCCCATTGAAAAGGTTTAAGTCACCATTGTCCTACCAAACTATAGGGCTGTTCTCATTAGCAAGACAATTGATGATAGTTTAACCTGAGCTTCACCATGCCTGAGATGAGGGAAAGGTTAAGAAGGAGTTCTTCATGGTAACCTCATCTGCTGCAGAAATTGAACCCACACTGTTGGCATTACTCTGCATCACGAACCAACCAACTAATCTAACCAACCCACTAACCCCTTCATTTAGCCTTATCAGCAGACACTTAAACATCTCTTTCATGGTGTGAGGAGGGAGGAAGGAAGATGTGGCAGGAGAGCAGAGAGAGGGATGTATGGGGTGGGGGGAGATGTGTGTGTCTGGGGAGAGAAGGAAATGTGGCCAAGGGAGAGTAGAAAGGTATAGAGGGAAGTGGGGGAGGTATTGTGTTGTATCTCACAGAAAGTACATCTTTAAGACATACTAATCACATCCTCATTGTATCTTAACATGTGACCTGAATTTATAAAGATCTCATTCTCCATCTTAGCATAGGACTACTTGAAGCATGACAATTGAAAGCTTGCTGCCCTATTGTAATCGAACAGTCTGACGATAAAACAGACACTTACGTGCCTGTGAATGCAATAATTATATGTAATAGGTAGTTGTAAAATTTGACTGTTGAATTCTTCAATATTATGATATTCACACCTAATTTCTTATCTTATGAGGAATAACGTAAGCATTGCCAGAAAACAACAGGCTGCAGGCAACTTAATCAGAAGGGAACGATTTGAGAAGGGCAGGTTACAGGAGAAAGGGAGCTGGGTAGGAATGAAGGAGGACATGAAGGGGCAATGGCAGCTAACTTTTTTTAACCTCTTTCCCAAAGCTAACAAGGTCATGTACATCATTTTAAAGCCTTTAAATTAAATTGTGATAATCAAGTGGATATTAAATACGAATTTATCTATCGCACAGCTCCCATGTAATAGTTGAAAGCAGTTCTGAATCTAACTCCATTTACCATGCTTCAATTTGGCTGAATATAGGAAAGATGTTGTGAAACTTGAAAGAGTTCGGAAAAGATTTATCAGGATGTTGCCAGGGTTGGAGGGTTTGAGCTACAGGGAGGCTGAATAGGCTGGGGCTATTTTCCCTGCAACATTGGAGGCTGAGGGGTGACTTTTATGGAAGGCTACAAAATCATGAGGGGCATAGATAGGGTGAATAGCCAAGGTCTCCTCCCCAGGTAGGGGAGTCCAAAGCTAGAGGGCATAGGTTTAAGGTGAGATGGGAAAGATTAAAAGAGACAAAAATAGAAATTGCTCAAAAACCAAAAGAATTGCGGGTGCTAAAAATCAGACAAAAGTAGAAATTGCTGGTAAAGCTCAGCAGGTCTGACAGCATCTGTGGACAGGCTTTACCAGCACTTTCCATTTTTGGCTGATTTTTAGCACCCGCAATTCTTTTGGTTTTGTTTAAGATTTAACAGGGATCTGAAGAACAACTTTTTCATGCAGTGGGTGGTGCATGTGTGGAATGAGCTGCCAGAGGAAGTGGGTACAATTACAACATTTAAAAGACATCTGGATGGCTATAAGAATAGGAAGGGAGGGATCTGGCCCAAATGCAATGAGATTAATTTAGGATACCTGGTCAGCATCGAAGAGTTGGATCGAAGGGTCTCTTTCTATGCTATACATCTCTATGACTATGAATCTTTGTCTGAAGGATAAAGGATTTCTAGACTTTTGTTCACTGCTTTGGGGTCAAAGTCTACAAACAGTTAATTTTTCTATGGAAGCCCAAAGGTTTCACTGACTCATGAAAAAGGCTGACGAAAGGTTTCTTTTCGAAACGTTGACTTTCCTATTCCTTGGATGCCATCTGACCTGCTGTACTTTTCCAGCCTCACACAATCTTTATAGGACCTTGGTTTTGAATCAAAACCTTAACTTTACAATCAAATTTGCGTGGGGGTGTGTTTGGGTGGGATAACACACTGGCTATGAGAGAAAGGAATATAAAGTCGAGAGATTTTGCTAAAACTAGACAAAGTACATGTCAGACCACAGCTGGAATACTGCGAAACGTTTTCAGCCCCTTCTCTAATGTACGATATATTAACGTTGGAGACAGTCTGGAGAAGGTTCATTATGCTCACTCCAATATGGGGAGGACTGTCTTATCAGGAGATGTTGAGTAGGTTGGCCAGGTACTTACTGGAATTCAGAAAAGAGAGGCAGCCTCACTGAAACATTCTTAGGGAACTTGACAAGGTAGATACAAAGAGGTTTCTCCTCGTGGGAGAGACTAGGATCAACAGGTACAAACTCAGAATAACATGTCATAGATTTAAGATAGAGATGGAGAGGAATTTCCTCTGAGGGGAGTACATTAGTAGAATTCTTTACAGCAGAAGATTGTCAAGTGTATTCGAGACTGAGATAGATTTTTAATCAGTAAGGGAAATCAAGAAAAGCAGGAAAGTGGAGTGAGGATTATCAAATCAGAGTAATGGCAAAGTGGATTTGATGGGCTGAATGGCCTCCTTCTGGTCCTACATTTTATAGTCTTATTGTCAATTTTTGGAACATCACCCAATGGCTAATTAGGCAATTAAAAGTCAAATGGCACATTCACTGTTCAATTAAAGATGGGAGGTGGGCAATTAAAGTTGGAGAGCCAATAAGTCCTTGAGCTGAGTGGTTTGCTCAGCCATTTCAGAGAGCAGTTAAGAGTCAGTCATGTCACTTTGGGCCTGGAGTCACACGTAGGCCAGACCAGGTAAGAACAGCAGATTTCATTCACTAAAGGACATTAGTCAACCAGATGGATTTTCACAACAATCAACAATAATTTCATGGTCACTGTTACTGACACCAGCTTTCACTTCCATATTTGTTAATTAATTGAATTTGAATTTCACAAGCTTCCATAGCAGAATTTGTATCTTTGTTCCCTGAGCATTAGCCTAAGCTTACTAGATTATTAGTTCAGTACAAATATTCTGGTGTTACCAGCAACACCAATATCACATTAACAAATACATTTTCAAAAAAATGTATTACTACACCACCATTATTGCAGAAGGAATGGACAAATCCCACTCTTGCAAAGCCTTAGAAAAGACTAAGGCTGCGACATAGTTGTCTCACAAACTGTTTCAGTCCTAAACCTCACCTTCTGTTCTCCAGGCATATTGTCTACTAGCTCAGACTACAGCTTGTCACTAAATATTTTAAGACATAGCCAATCATCAAGCAACAAAGTTATTGTAATCCTAATGCAAGGCTCTTGTGGTGTAGTGATAGTGTCCCTACCTCTGACCCAGGATCAATTCCCTCTTACTCCAGAAGTCTGTCATAACATGACTGAAAGGGTAGAGTAGAAAATATAAAGTAACCTACTGATAATCTAACAACATACAGTGCCACTCTATGGCTACATTTCTAATTAAATGATATTTTTGTTGTATTTACCTGCACAGCTGCATGCATTGTGGGCTGGATCAGATGCAACAGAGGTCTTGCATTCATCATTGGTAATAACTGCAGTGGATCTCCCAGCTTTCATCTACTCCAGTTTGGAAAAGAAAATTAGAAGCCAGTGGCTGAGTGCATAAAAGGCCTCAAACCTGACCACTTTGCATTAATTTGAAAGGAAGGGCAACATTCTACTTTGAAAACATAACCACCCTGCAGCAGAACAGAGAAAGATGACTTGCTGTGTCAATCTGACCTGTACTCTCTCCCAGATGTCCTCATGCACTGTTCCAGTCAGTTACAAACTTCCAATAGTAAAGAAGGATGATTGGAAACCTTACAATTGAGCAAGTGGTCAAGATGTAATCTAAGCTGCACATCCTCAGCTGTTGTGGAAATAGCAGAGAGAGAGATGTTTACTTATATAGAGATGAGGTAATTACATGATTAGCTCGAGGGACGAGCCCTGCCATGTGTTTCTAATAGCTGCAAGTTGTTTGCTGTAGATATGACCTTTTTTACATAGTCCCATAATATTTAACCCGGAGATATTTTGTTTCGGCCTCCACATCACTAATCTAGTATTTTGTATGATTAGTGGAATTATCTACAAAATGTACTGAAGGTGAACAGGATGACTTGACTCTGCTACTTGTTTGTCACAAGTCCCATGGTATCAACACAGTTTGGACTTTAATCAGTTCAACAGTAACTGCAGTATTGCAACTTTGAACTCTCAAACCTCCATTTACAACACTGTTTCTTCTTGAGAAACACTGCTTCTTGCTCTGTCAAGCTATGACTTTGCTCCCTCTGTACAGATATACACAGGAGCAATACCAGACATTGCTTAAACTGAGATGCATACCCGGGTAAAGTGCAACAGTGAACTACATGCATGCTAAAAAGTGAAAAAAACCTTCAAAAAATGGAGCAAAGAGATCCCTCAACCAAAGGATCAGATCAGAGCTCCGCAGTCCTGCTACAAACAGCTGTGAATGGTGGGGGACATTTAAATAACTAATGAAAGAAAGGAGTTTCCAAACAAAATTTTGTGTCCTTTATGATGGGGATCCCAACATATCAGTGCAAAAGACCAGGCTGAACCAATTGCAACCATTGTCTACCTGAAGTGCAAAAGGAATGATTAATCTTGGCCTTCTCCTGGAGTGTCCATCATCAAGGATACCATTCTTCAGCCAATCAGATTGATGTTACATGACATCAAGAAATGGCTGAAGAAACTGAACACAGAAAATGTCTACGGATCCTGGCAAGATCCCAGCATTAGTACTGAAGATTTGTGCTCCAGGACTTGCTATGCCCCTAGTCAAGCTGTTCCAGTATGGCTACAACTCTGGCATTTACACTACGAAGTGGGAAAATTGCTTAGATGTGTCCTGTCCACAAAAAAACTGTACAAATCCAATTTGGTCACTTATCAACCCATCAATTTACCCTTGATCATCAGCGGAATAACAGAAATAGTTGTCAATCGTGCTACTAATCGGCACCTACGCACCAATAACTTGCTCACTGATGTTCAGTATGGGTTCCACCAGGGTCACCTGACTCCTGATCTTATTATTGCACTAGTCCAATATGGCAAAATGATTGAATTACAGAGGTCAGGTGAAATTGACACTCCTTGACTTTAAGGCACCATTTTGATCGAGTGAGGTTGAAGTTAATCAATATTGAGGAGAACCTCTTCACTTTTCAGAGTCATACCTAGTATAAAGGAAGATGATTTTGTTGTTGAACATCAATCATTTTAGCCTCAAAACACCACTACAGCAGTTGCTCACTGTCTTAGGTTCAACCATCTTCATCTGTTTCATTAATGACCTTCCCTCCATCATAAAGTCAGAAATGGGAATATTTGCTGATGACTGCATAGTATTTGATTCCACTTGCAACTTCTCAGATACTCAAGTTGTCCATTCCTCCCTGCAGCAACATCTAGATAACATTTAGGCAGGATTGGTAAGTGACAAATACACAGGAAAGAGGAGCCTATGTAACGACCCATCTTCAACAAGAGGGAAGGTAACCATCATCTCTTGACCTTCAATGGCATTACCGTTGCTGAATCCACCACTATCAATAGAATTAGACAGAAACCTAACTGGGCTGGCCATATAAATAACATGGCTAGGAGAATAGGTCAGAAGTTCTGAGGTGAATTATTCAACTGACTCTACAAAGCCTTTCCCCCCATCTGCAAGGCACAAGTCAGGACTTGGATGGAATACTTTCTACTTGCCTGGATGGGTGCAGCTCCAACAACACTTGAGAAGCTTGACATCAACCAGGTCAAAGCATCTCTCTTGAGAACACCCCTTTCACAAGATGCACAACATAATTCATCAAGCCTCCTTTGATAGCACCTTCAAAATATGCGACGTCTGTTTCCATGCTGCGTGACTCTGTGAGTATCTATGAGTATCTAAAAGAACAAGAGTAACAGATACATGGGATTACCGCCACTTGCAAGTTCGCCTCCAAGCCACTCACCATCCTGTGTTCTGAGGAAGAGACACCGGACCCGAAATGTTAACTCTGATTTCTCTTCACAGATGCTGCCAGACCTGCTGAGATTTTCCAACAATTTCCATTTTTGTTTCTGATTTCCAGCATCTGCAGTTCCTTTTGGTTATTTTTCCCTCACTGTCCCGGCCTGGAACCATATTATTGCTCCTTCATTGTTTGCTTTGATGTCCTACCCGGGCAGTGACAAAGTCTTAAAAAATCCAGGAAGCCTCTGTTTGTGAAATTTATGCCAAAGGTAATATTTTTGAGCTCAGATTGTCTGTCTGCAGCTAATCAAATGGAAAGCTTGGCTAGGATGTGTGAGCAGGAATCTACAGTCAGGGACATTTGAGGACTGACCCCAGCTAATGAGAGCTGATGAGGTCTTAGATCAGAAGGGAAGAGGTTGACAGCTTCCTGGATGCAGCGAGATGGTGGAGTGGAGGCTGAGATCAGGATGATTTGATCACTTTGGTGGATCCAGCTGCTCCCACCTCCCTTTCCCTGCCGCACTTCCCAGCCTCTGGAAAACTCGTGCAATGCCTGAAAATCTTTAAATTGCCTGTCCACAGTGAGACACTCACTCACATATTTGATGCCCTTATAAATTGTGTGTTGCATGTTTACAGTCATCCTTCCCAGATATAATCCTTAAAAATGCCAACCACGTTGAGCAGCACGGTGGCTCAGTGGTTAGCACTGCTGCCACACAGCGCCAGGGACTTGTGTTCAATACCACCCTCAGGTGACTGTGTGGAGTTTGCACGTTCTCCCTGTGTCTGTGTGTATTTCCTCTGGGTGCTCTGATTTCCTCCCACAGCCCAAAGGTATGTAGGTTAGGTGGATTGGCCATGCTAAATTGCCCATAGTGTCCACGGATGTGCAGGCTAGTTGGGAGAGCTGTGGGAAATGCAGAGTTACAGGGATAGGGTAGGGGGATGGGCCTGGGAGGGATGCTGTTCGGATGGTTGGTGTGGACTGAATGTCTGGCTTCCTCTCTGCAGGGATTCTATGATTCTTCTGTGTCCTGCTTGGGATGGGGTGGGAGCAAGTCACAATTTAGTCACAATTCTGGGCCTCTTCCAGTGTCACAATGATGCCACCCGGAAACTGGAGGAGCAGCACCTCATATTCCACCTCGGGAGCCTACAGCCCAATGGCCTAAATGTGGATTTTACCTGTTTCAAAATCTCCCCACCCCCGGCCTCATCCCGTGACCAACCCTCCCTCTCATCCCCGCCTCCTTGACAACCAGTCCATCTTTTCTCCCACCTATCCACCCCTCCCACCTCACTGACTAATCCCCACCACTGCCTACCTGCTATCACCATCCCACCTACCTTCCCCAGCCCCACCCTTCCTCTCTCTGTTTATTTCTGAGCTCCATTCCCCCTCCCCCCATTTCTGAAGAAGGGTCCCGACCCGAAACGTCAACTTTCCTGCTCCTCTGATGCTGCCTGGCCTGCTGCGTTCCTCCAACTCCACACTGTGTTATCACAATTTAGGACTCCTTTGTTTAAAAACATTTGTAACTTTTCCTGTTCAATTTTCTTTTGTAAAATGGCCTGTAAGTTGGATAGAGTCCTGCTTCACGCAATGATTAAGGAGTTTCCACAGCCTGTGGAAGGCTCTGTCTGATTGACACTTTAATATAGCTCCACGATCCCAGGGGAATGAACATGATTTGATTTGAATCCAAAAACAGTAAAGCAGAGCTGTGGTGCCACAGTCATCTACACATTTCACTCATTTGTTCCATATTGGATTAATGTGATACAATTAAAATTCTTTGGACAGTTAGCAGCTGTGTTCGTGATCAGGCTTAATTGCAAGATGGTCTTTTTGTTTCCTTCATTGTTATTGCAGTCACATTTACTTCAAGCATCTCATCAAAGTTTTTCCACAGGATATTTTCTCTTGTCCCCTGTTGCATAATCGACCCTATATTAATATTAAAATTAATGTGTTCACAAACAAAGCATTAATGATTTTAATTTGAAAGTAAACTGCGTAGGTGTAATGATAATGCTTTTATACCTTGGGGTCTACTGATGTAAGCCCATACATAACCCCATCTGTAAACACCTGCTGCTCTTAAACCATCTGAGAATTCTGTGTTCCTCCAGTTTGATCTTTTCTCACTTCCCCGATATTAGTTACTCCACAATCCATGTCTGGTACTTCGGCTGCTGAGGCCTTGAGCTCTGGAATTCCCTCCTTAAAACTCACCACCTTTCTACCTGTCTCTTCCGCGTTCAAGATGCTCCTTAACACATACTTCTTTGACCAAGCCTTTCGTTCCCCCATCCTAATCTTTCCTTCTGTGGCTCAGTGGCAAAGTTAGCTTGATAACCCCTTGTGAAGCTCCTTGCTATGTATTACCCCATTAAAGTTGCTATATAAATGAAATATGTCATGAGTGAGACCTCCCAATGGAGGGATTTGCAGGGATTGGCTCTCCATCTTCCACCCACTCACCATTCCTCAACAGAAGCATCACTGGTGAGTGCAATTCCTGAAGCATTGCTTAGCTATTCTGAACAACGGTTGGCTTTAAAGAAATCATGTAAAAAAGGGTCTAGGCCCGAAACGTCAGCCTTCCTGCTCCTCTGATGCTGCTTGGCCTGCTGTGTTCATCCAGCTCTACATCTTGTTATCTAAAAATGTCCTTCCTACTTTGCCATAGTCATGTGACCTCCAACGTGAGCTACACCAACTGTGACAGGTAGCCTGAGGCATTTCAATGAAGAATTCATTCTGAACAGATTGCTCTCTACTGCACTCAGAACAAAACTTCCCCTGTCAGAAAGAGATGAGAAAGATATCTTTTGCTCTTGGTAGAATGAGCT